GGTAAAGTGAGCTGGCTTGTGGAGTGATTTACACATGGAACTTTTGATGAGTTTTAGCCAAGGGGATAACATGATGTAAGCAGTGCTTGAAAATTTATTTGGTAAAGATGTCTAGGATGATAATTGTTTGCACTAGGGACCAAGAGAGGGCAGTGCTGATGGTGACTGGGATTTCTGAGGTTGAATGGAATAAAGACAATTTAAGAGAAGCAAGCAAGATGTAAGCAGTGACAGGCAGGATGAAAGAATATAGTCAGGAAGAGGAAAAATGACTCCATTTGGAAAGGGTCAGGACTTGTAGTAGACAATGCTCTTAAGGCAGGGCATAGCAGTGGTAGGAAATTGGTCATTCTGGTTCATTGTTAGGAAGAATTTTCTGGTAATTTGCCATTAGCTTGAAATTTTATCAATCAGACAGGAATGTTCATGTTTTTAAAGTTTGCTCATTATGAATTATAACTATAATCCTGTTGGTTAGATAAGTCTATTGGAATGGAGATCCCCACCCCCTTTTATTCAGCATTGAGTCTTGCCTGTTGCGCACATCCTGTAAAGGGAAGGGGTGTGTGTGTGCGCGTGTGTGCGCGCATTAAAGAACCCTTGAGAATCTCTACATCTCTGGCGGGAGGAGGGTAAACATTAAGCAGTCATGGGTATTAAGACCTTGTTTAGTTGTTCCCCATCTTTGATTTCATTTTCATGATAGCTGGGCAAAAATGCTTCAAAGGGAAAATGGCAAACCACTGAACAACAGCAGACCACACAAGCAGGACTTCTGCACCAGACGAGTCATTTCTGATCAGCAGAGCCCTACTGGCTACAGCAGGCAGCCATAAGGAATGGGAGATGAGATTCTGGCGTAGATACGGATCTTTTATTGTGTAACAATAGTTTATTCTTCACACCAGGGGCATGAGAGCAAAGTTGCTTAGCAATCATGTGGGTGCTGAAAGAATGGCCTTTGGAGAGCAGGCATTTGAAGTGGGATAAATTCAGCTTTTTCAAGAAGCTTGCAAACGCCCTGATTAGAGTGATTGGGGGCAGTCCTTTTACAAATTAAGATCTTGTAGTCCTCTTTCTTTCTGATTGCTTGTATGTTGATCTGTTTTTCAGCTTCCTCATCTGTAGAAAAGGTAGTGCCTGTTGAAACAGTTTCCTCCAGAGGCAGGTGCTGGGAGACCAGGGCTCTCAGAGCCAGTTGTGTTGATGGGTCTTGAGGAACAGAACAGGTGGGGCTGGGGGAGCACGAGTCCCCTCGCCCCTACTACAGCTTAGAAGGAACATATTCACAGATACTTTGCATAGGCAGGGGTAGTTTTTCCAGAAGGAGAAGGAAGGGGCATAGAGTACAAAGAATACCAGAGTGAGAGGCTATTGTAATTCCAGTTTCATGACACATAAAACTCATTTGGGGCCCATTTTCTAATCTCTGATTTCACCTCTTCATCTGTAAAATAGCAGTAACATCTGCTTTACTGGTTCAGGGACTAAAGCAAATTGGTGATGGTGTGAGTCTGTGCTAAAAAAGCACAGGTTGCTACTGTATAAACTTACGGAACCTTTCCCATCTTTTTACTACTTCATATGCTGCCATCAAAATTTTTATTTACTTATTTATTTATTTTTTAAAATTTAAACTTGTGGTATTGTCTGGGTATTTAAAAATGCTGATAGAAAGTTTTGTACCCTTTTTTCTTACTTTTCTCTTCTTTTTTTTTTTTTTTTTTTTGAGACCAGGCCTCGCTATGTTGCCCAGGCTGGCCTTAAACTCCTGGGCTCAAATGACCCTCCTGCCTGAGCTTCCTGAATAGTGAGTACAGGAATGTACCACCACATCCAGCTAAATGTTCTTAAAAGTTAAAAAAATAACACACCGTTTTCTTCTTCATTTGTAAACTTTTTCACTTATCTCTTATTCATTTTTGTTGTTAATTTGTTTGAAGACTACTTCCTTTTTTTAGGACTTAACTATGAAAAAGAAAACTGTAACAAAGTTGAACTACTGATCTAAGTTACAGTTCTTTTTGCTGAATTGAGTTTGGGTTGATGGTTAAGAATTGGACTTTTTTCCCTCCAAATTTCAGACTCAAGACCAGCTCCTCATTTTACAGCAAGGATGCTGGCCAAGCAAGTACTTTAGCCCTACCAGGACTGGAGCTCAGATTACTTTCAGGTCCTTGTTATTATAAGCTGCTTTCCTGTACAGTCCGCATAATAACTAAAGGTGGTTAAGAAAATTATCACTGAATTCAGCCATCCTTTATTTAATATCAGTGCTGTTTAATTGTCCAGTGCTGAAATAATAGAGTTCCAATCAAAATCTTCACTGGGATCACTGGGTCACACTACACACCTCTATATACAGAGAGCATTGAGTTTGACTTTAGAGGACTGAGAACATAGTATTACTTATTATTAGAGAGTGTTGGACCAGACATTACAAAACCTGAGTTCTGGCCTCAGTTCTGCTCAGTTTCCTTAGTCAAGAAAAATATACTTAATCTCTAGAGCCAGTAGTCACTGTTTACAAGATGAGAAGGACGGCAATATGATATCCAAGGTCCAAGCCAGGCTTTTGTTAGAGGGTCTGTGAGACCCTAAGACAGAGAAGAATGTGGACATGGAGAGATGAATGTTTTCTTTTTGTTTCCTGAGGACTTTGCATTAATCAACTGTGTTTCTCATTTTATGTCCCTGTCTGGCATGTGTTCTAGCTGCCTCTTTTCCTATCCAAAAGCTACATTTATGTATCCTTTAGGTCATAGGTTGAATTTCTCTTCGTCTATGAAGTCACTGTGGCTACACAATTTCTCATTTTCTAAACTCATTGATTGCCCTTACATCTCACTCACCATTAATTATGGCACATTGCTATAGAATATGCCTTCCTTTTATACCGCACCTCTAGGGTGTAGGTTGATGTAGAAGGAAAAGAACAGACTGTGAAGATAAATACATTTAGCGATGTGATCTTTGGGTAGCCAATTAAAATATATGTTCAGTTTTTTAAATAGGTAGTACATTTTTGAATAGGTATTTTTTCCCCCTAAACTTATTAGAAGTGGAGATGCAATGAAAAGTTGTCTATCCCTGGCCTCCCAGAATTAGTCAAGCCCTCCAGAATTTCTTATTTTTCATTTATTTTTTGGTAAATGAATACTATACATATTATTAGGTACCTTGTTTTTTTCACTTAATTTATCTTGGAGATCTTGTCATATTGGTATATAGTGAGCTTCCTCACGGTGTTTAATGTTTTATTGACATACCATAATTTAACCAGTGGTTGGGAATTTTTAAGTGGTAAAGTCCTATTGATTTTCAAGTTTGAATGGTCTGGAAGCCTGATACAAGAAATATGCTCTTCCTTTCTCTATGACTTATATTCCCCCAGTGCACTATGGTTTTTAAGCACTCTACATTTTTGGAATTGGTTCTCATAAAACCTCTTTGGGGTAGATGACTCTTCCATAGGTTTTACTAGGTAAATTCAGAAAAAAAAAAAATCTCTTTACAATTTTACTGACTGTGGTGCAGGGCTCTTCATAAAAGCCCTCACCATGCTTTTTTGTGTGGTCCACTGGCAGATATGGGCTGACAAGTTCAGGGTTTTCTTGAGAAACACAGCCTGTCTTGTAGGGCTGATAAAAGTCTTCATTCCTGCATTTATAACCTTTAGTGAATTTACTTCTTTTACTTTACTCACTTCCTTAAAACCAGTAGAGCATGGAGAAAAGGATGTCCACATAAATGAAGCTTTGAGAAACTGAACCAATTTAGAAAAATGCAAATGTTCTTTTTATAGATAAAAATTTTAATTTAAAAAAGTCCTAACTGAAATATGTATATGCAGAAAAAAGTAACTTACTTTTTGCTTTGGTTATTTTTGAGATAGGGTCTCGGGTTTATGCCTGGATTCACATGGACTGTGAGTCTCCTATTTATACTTCCCTTATAGCTGGGATGATATGTGTACCACCATGTCTAGCTTTTATTGTTAAGATGGGAGGGGGGCTCTCAAGAACTTTTTGCCCAAGTTGGGGTCAAACTGTAATCCTTCTGATCTCTGCCTCCCAAGTAGCTGGGATTACAGGTTAGAGCTACCATCCCTGATGGTGTTTTGTTTTGAACAGATGGATCTTACTGACATTTTGCCCTGATGTTCCCAGTAGCTGGGATTATTGGCATGAGTTATTGCACCCAGAAACCTGAGATATTTTTATCTTTCTCCTATTTTTGAACTAGGGTCATGATTTTATCTATCTACTACCTATCTATCTATCTATCTATCTATCTATCTATCTATCTATTCTATTTGCAGAGCTGGAAATCAAACCTAGGAACTCATGTGCTCATACACGGTAGTCATGGTTTTAACATTGAGCTACAATTCTTCCCCCTTCTCTCTTTGTCTTTTTTTTTATATCTGTGTACTTTTGTATTCATGCTGAAATTTGATATAAAGTTAGAATTGTAGAGCTGTTTGGACACTTAGAGATTATTGATTAATATATGGTATATTTGTGTATTAATCCAGTCATTACTACTAATAAATGGAGAAACTGAAGCCCAGAGAGGTTGCCACTCACCCAAGTCATCCACCTTACTCAGAGCACCTCACTGCAGCTGTCGACTTCTTCCTCTAAACAAGCTCTAATTAGCTGCCCCTTCTCTACTTTGGGAGAAGTTTAAGTTTGAACACATTTCCTTGTCCCCATCCCTTTTCTTTGTAATTTAGACCAGTTAATAAAAGACTACAAGGAATATTATGTTCACAGACTGTACCTAGAGCCTAGCTCATAAGAGGCATGCAATATAGAAACCAAAGCTGGGGACAGAATAAGAGCGAGCTTGGGCTAACAGGTAGGGGATGGCAGTGAAGTGCTCCTCGCCCTGTGTTTGCTAGCTTACTTTTCATCTTTCTCTCCCCAGGGCAGAGAGCACAGTGAAGGTGCTGCGTGTGCTTAGTGGGTACCTTTAAGCTACTCTCTTTCCCCTAGGTCCTCTCCCACAACCTGTGTACTGTGCTGAAGGTTCCACACGACCCTGTTGCCCTGGAAGAGCACTTCAGGGATGATGATGAAGGGCCTGTCTCCAACCAGGGCTACATGCCATATTTAAACAAGTTCATTTTGGAAAAGGTAAGATTCTAACCTGTCTCCCTTACAGCCTTGAGTTGCATATATCAGTTGCTCCCCAGAAGTCATTGTTGGTGACTTCATTGAGGAGTTGAGATACAAAGTATCAAGACATAAATGAAAAAGGAAGAAAGAGTGATGATGCTTCCTGTACCTCCCTCTCTTAAAATTTGATGTTTTATCCAGCATAGGTCATTCTTTGAAATTAAGAAATTCTGTTTTGTTTTAATCTATACTTGTCCATGTGGGCGATTTATTATGGAAAAAAAATATGGTTGTCAGTGTGCTGGAAGTGGCTGTCAACAGCCATGAGATACTATACAGCAACTTTTCATCCTAGTCCATTTTTTGGGCTGTACTGGAGTTTGAATGCAGGGCCTAGCACTTGTTAGGCAGGTGCTCTATTACTTGAGCCACATCTTAAGCTCTTTTTGTGTCATTTTTTAAAATAGGGTCTCAAGTTTTCCTGACCTGATCCTCCCATTTAGTTGAGATGACAGATGTGTACCACAATGCCCAGCTTACTGGTTAAGATGTAGTTTGACTAACTTTTTGCCTTGGCTGGCCTTGAACCATGATCCTCCTGATCTCTGTCTGCCAAATATCTGGGATTTATAGTTGTGAGCTACCACACCAGCCATTCTAGACTTTGCAAGCACCACTTAGATGCTTTCTCTGGGTTACATTCTGAGTAAGGATGCTATAAAAACCTACCATTTGTTTGGAAACAAAATAATATTGACAATTGTGCCATGTTCAGTTTTTCCCTTGAGTTTGTATCATTAAAAATTTACACATGAAAGTGTTTAATTTTAAAAAAAATTTGGATTAGGGGCTGGTGGATTGGCTCAAGTGGTAGAATGCCTGCCTAGCAAGTGTGAGGCTCTGAGTTCAAACCCCAGTACTGCCAAAAAAAAAAAAATTAGATTAGGTTTGAAACTGATCAATAAAAACATAAAAATTGTACATATTTATGGGATTCTTTTGTATAATGTTTAAATAAGTTTAAAGCTATTTTCTCAGGGATGGAGGAGTAGCTCAAGTGGTAGAGCGCCTGTGTAGCAAATATGAGATCCTGAGTTCAAACCCTAGTACTGCAAAAACAACAACAAACAAACAAACAAACAAAAAAAACCCCGATTTCTTTATGGTGAGAATATTAAGAAGCCTTTCTGATAGCTTTTGGAAATCTGCATTGCGTTACCATTATCTACTGTGCAGAAGCACACCAGAACTTGTAACTCCTATCTAACTAGAACATATTACCCATTGATCAACTTTGCCCCATTTCTTTCTCCCAAAAGTGTTGGGTTTAGTGCATGAAAAGAGTAAAATAATCTGAAGGGTGATCCTCCTGCTTAGACCCTACACATAGCTGGGATGACAGGCGTACAATACCATGCCCATGCCCATCTTATTGTTTGAAATAGGGGTCTTGCTAACTTTTTGCCTGAGCTGACCTTGAATCATCTTTTTTTTTTTTTTTTTTTTAAGACAGAGTCTCACTGCGTAGCCCAGTTGGCCTGGATTTTGTGATCCTCCTGCCTCTGTTTCCTGAGTTGGGATTACAGGTGTATACCACTGTGCCTGGCACATTTAAATAAATAAACATTGGTGATTAAAGAGTTATGAAAGGTAGTTCATACTTGCTATTAAATAGGCAGTTAAGAGAGAAATATATGAAATAAAAGAAAGTGGTCTGATTCTGAGAAGTAACATTGTTAACAGTTTGGGGAATGTCTTTGTGTAGCTTTTTAAAATTATACCCAAATACACACATGCCCTACACAGTCCATGGTGTTATCCCATCATTTTCTAAACCCCACCAAATTGTACACTTTGATTTTACAGTATGTGAATTATATTGCGATAAAATATTTAATCAAATTGTATAGTAATTGTGTGAGATATATAAACTTTAGATGCTCTACTATTTTCTGGAGTTTGCTTTTTTCCTATTGCTGTTTTGTTCATTGATTAAGCAGCTTATTTGTATTCTATAGTTGTAAGTAAATATGTCATCTTTTTATTATTGTTTTATCTATCTATATTGTTTTTGGGGGGGGGGGTCTCACTTTGTAGCCCCGGGGCAGGGGGTTCTCAAATTCATGATCCTTTTGCTTCTGCCTCACTGAAACTACAGGTATGTGCCACCATGGATTTTTTTTTTTTTTTGGCCATACTGGAGTTTGAACTCAGGGTTTTGTGCTTGTTTAGCAGGCATTCTATTGACCAATATGTCTTATATTCCATAAATATTTGATAACCTGCTACGTGCATGTATTTAATTTTCAAATTATAGACAATAGGCAGGATTATATCTATCACTAAAATATTGCAGAATATACTGAGATTCTCAGAAATCTGGAAATTGCTTTGTTTTTCAGTGTTAGCGTTTATGTGGGCTGGGTCAGTGGAGAGAGGCTGCTGGTTTCATAACTTTGAAATGTTGTACCCTACTTCTACATATTGTTCCCCTTATTGTAATTTTTTTTATATACCTCTTGAATTTTAAGTTTTAAAATGTTCTTTGAATATTTTGATATTTTGACTTGAGGAGAAAATGTAACAGTATTTTAAAAAGTTCAAAGTGAGCCACTAAATTTGGAGCAAAACCTATTTATGGAGCAAGTGACAATGTGATGAAACAGTGAGCCCTTGTTTATTATTGCTTAGCCACCTGGAGTGGAATTTTGCCAGTCTTGCAATCCAAGTAAAGTAGCCAGAGTTTCCATGGTGTGGGTGTAAATTAACAAAGATTAGTGCTTTGTTTTGAAATTTCGTTGGGGAAAAAAATGCCTGTAGTGACTGAAGAATGTTAACACGAAATTTAGAATTGTCACAAGTTAGGCATGTCTGAGTTGTGTTTTCCTATATGTACTGCCTCATTTGATCCTCATATTAATCCTGTGAGGCAGAACTGAAATGACCTCCAACTTAACTCAGTAGGAAATGGAGCGTATGGCCACCTAGCTAATAAAGATATATCGATTTTGAACCTAAGTCACTTAACCACCAGTGCTTCTTCAGCTGTACTCTTGAGGGATTAATTATTCCCTTTCAGAATTAGTATTTTTTTCTAGTTTTTGGATACCTAGGGGAAAGATTGGTTGAAGAAAGGGATGGAGTTGCTTAAGAAACATTCTGATAATCTCAAACAGCCTCTGCTTCTACCCAGTTTTCCTAGGCTGCTTTAAGGGTTTTAAGGTGATTGTCTTCTTTTCATTGCTGTCTGGTGTTCCTTAGTGTCCACTTGGTCAGTTGTCCCCAGGTTGTTGTAGAGGTCTTTTGGGACCAAGAGATACATCATGCTGAAGCTTGCTTTCCCAAAAGTGATTTTTTTTTTTTTTTTTTTTGGTGGTACTAGCGTTTGAACTCAGGGCCTCACGCTTGCTAGATAGGTGCTCTACCTCTTGAGCCACTCTGCCAGCCTCGAAAAGTAATTTTTACATTTGGTTTCTGTATTTACTTCCTGATGAAATCATTCCTGATGGTCTTTGTAGTGACCTCAGGTAATTAACATTTCTGTTGTTCTTTTACCAAACATTTTGCCTCCCCTGCGTGATAACTTGTTAAATTCCTTCATTAGTAAAAGAATAGAATTCTGCAAACATCTAGGAGGAAACTTTTGTGGGTTATTATTGTTTTTTTTTTTTAAGAGAAACTATACCTGGATTATCTGATGGTGAATAATTGAAGAAAGTAAAATTTTTAAAACTATTTAGTCCAATAAACTATGTAAAAAACTTGCTCTGTGTCAGTATGTTTATGAGGCAACCTAATTCTTCCATGAGATTTAATGACTGATTAGGCTTGTTGTGCCAAATTGGTGTCAGTTCTTTTCCCTGACTATTTGTTAAGGCTTGGTTTGGGCTATATGACTAAAACCAGTAATCCATTGACATTCTACCAACTTCACATTGGAGAAGCTGATGCTTTCCAATAGAATTCTTATTGTTTGATTTTGGAAGCATCTGTTGTTTCTGCTAGAGCCTCTGCATTCTGTTCTTCTAGCCTGACGCTTATGCCCTTTTCTTTTTGGTGTGTGTGCTTCTTACCAAACTTGGTGCTCATGTAATAGCTACCTTTTTTGTATAAAATGGTTTCAGGTTGCTTCTGTTAGTTGAGTGACTATGCCTTCAGATCTCAGAACACTTCAGCTGTGTGACTAAAGACCATTACTGAGCACAAGTGGTGTTACTTTCAAGTTTTCAATCCATGCTTGTGCAAGTTCTGCCCGGCAGCCCTTTGGCTGGTGTTATTTTATCTTTTATTGTTGTTTAAAAGTTATATGGTGTAAATTTGGCGTAATGACCATATTATACTCCAAATTTCCATCATATTTGTGAAGTACCAGAGGTCTGTACACATTTGAATGAGTAAAGGGATTTCATGCTGAGAGCCTCAGACGACTTTGCTGTTCAACACTTTGGCCAGTAGTATCAATGGAAGCGTTTTGGAGTTCAAAGAAATAAAGTTTCTAAAAACAACAGCTTTGTTGGCATATAACTCACATATCCACAGTTTGTTTATTTAGTCTGTACAGTGTAGTCTTTTTTCCTTTTATTATAGTTACTGTTTTGTGAGACCATTATCACAATCAGTTTTAGAGTATTTTCACTATTCTCTTCCAAAAAAACCCCATTCCCATTAGCAGTCACACTCTCTCCTCTCCCACACTCTGGGCAAGCACCAAGCTACTTTCTGTCTGCAGATTTGCCTATTGTGGACATTTAAGTTAGTGAAATCATAACGACATGCAGCCTCTGTCTGGCTTCTTTCACTTAGTGTGTTTTTAAGATTCATCCATGCTGTAGCATGTAACAGTGCTTCCTTTTCATGGCTAAGTAACATTCTTTTACGGACATAACAGAATAGAATGATGGGCATTTGGGTTATTTACTGCTGTGTAATAACATGGGCTGTCTCTCTGTTCCTCAAATGACCAAGACTCTTCCTGCTTCTCAGCCTTCAAACATGCTGCTTCTTCTGTGTCATGCCTC